AAAAAAGGGCTGAATCCAGGACTTTTGATTTTGATTGCAGCAGAATAGTGAATATTACACTTATACTCTCAAGATGAACAACTATAAGGGCTGGCCAGTTAGCTCAGTTGGTTAGAGTGCGGTGTTATAACACGAAGGTCAAGGGTTTGGATGCCTTATTGGCCAGCCACAAAAACAAACAAAGATGAACAACTAAAAGAAAACTAGAAAAAAATTTGAAGCAACTATTTACAGGCATTGGAGAACATATGTGAGTAGTGCAGGGATGTGTTCTTTGAGAAAAGAGAAACATATGAGGTGACTCCACATTCTTTCCAGGTTTCTACCTAGGGACAGTTTGTAAACTTTGGCAAGTGGAGTTAGAATCCAACAGAGAACAGGGACATCACTAGGCAGATGAGACAGATGGGAGTTTGGGTTTGCTGAAGTGACTGGAAATTGTGGGGCAAGGTACTGGCATGGGATTTCTGTGTAGAGATGGGGCACCAGAAATCTGTATGAGGATCCTTTGAGTCTTTGGCCAAATATTTAGCTACACCTGTACAGGATGAGATGCGATGAGGACTAGCAGAGAACAATTACATAGGTGGGGGTAGGTTGTGAGCTGAATTGTGATTCTGGAGGTCACACAATTCTTGGAGACATTTGAGTACTTATATGTGAGTGGAGAGACTGTGAGAGTCTGCAGTGTTCAGTTGAGACCTCAGAAAGGCCACTCTAAGAAATCCTAAAACCAGGGTTTGACACAGTCATGCTGAGTTGTCAATGAATTAGCTGCCTCCTAGTACAAAACTCAACACATTTTAAAGGAAGGCTTCACAGTCCCAGCTCTCAATGTAACATCGGCAACGTCCAGGATATAATAAAAAATTAGTGATATGTACAGAAGAAGATGTGATCCATACATGGGAGGGCAAGAAGTGAACAGAAACAGACCCAGATATGGCATAGGTTTTGGAATCAGCCGACAAGGATTTTAAAAGCTATGATAAATAAGTTCAAGGATTTAAAGGAAAAGATGTACATAATGTGTGGCAAAAGATATGAACAGAGAAATAAAAACTGTAAAAAAAGACCTAAGAAGTTCAACACATCATAAACAACATGAACACATCTGTGTTACACATTATATTCAGATTGCTCAAAACTAAAGATAAAAATAAAATCTTAAAAACAGGTGGAAGAAAAAAATAACACATTATGCAGAGGGGAAGAATAATAAGTATGACTTCTTATTAAGAACTGTTCAAGCCAGAAAACTATAGGACAGCATCTTAAAGTGCTGGGGAATAAAAGTCAACCCACACTTCTGTATACAGCAAAAGTGCCCTTAAAAAATTGAAGATGAAATGGAGAACATTTTCAGATTAAAAAAAGAAAAAGACAGAGGTAATCTGTCACAAGCAGACTTACACTACAGTAATTGTTAAACGGTGTTTTTGAGGCTGAGGGAGAATGATAATTAGTCCCAGAGTAACAGTTGCTTGAGACCACCCCTTTGCTAGCCTTAAAAACAAAGGTTGGAAAGGATCAGATGATCAAACTGTTGCCGAGAAACTTAAGTGCATGCCAGAACAAAGTTCAGTACTCATGAAAGGACTAAAACAAAATTCTTCACCTAACAATGTAAATTTCACAATCAAAAGTTACCAGCCATGGGCTGGCTGGTTTGCTCAGATGGTTAGAGCTCAGCCTTGTAACACCAAGGTGAAGGGTTCGGATCTCCCTACTGGCCAGCTGCCAAAAAAAAAAAAAAAAAGTAAGTTACCAGCCATGGGCTGGCTGGGTTGCTCAGATGGTTAGAGCTCAGCCTTGTAACACCAAGGTGAAGGGTTCGGATCTCCCTACTGGCCAGCTGCCAAAAAAAAAAAAAAAAAAAAGTAAGTTACCAGCCATGCAAAAAAGCAGGGAATATGACTCATAACCAGGAGAAAAGTCAACCATACGAACATCCAAAAATGAAAGGGATGATAAAATTAGTAGACAAGAACCTTAAAACATCATTATAAATCTTATGAATATGCTCAGATGTAAAGGAAAATGTAAGCATAATGAGAGGAATGGAAGATATAACCAAAAACCAAAAACCAAAAACAAAATAATAAAGCAAAAGGAATAGCAGTGTTTTAAAATATAGTGGTACAGATAGGTTAAAAGTAAAAGGATGGAAAAAATATACTATGCCTACTAATAAAAAGAAAGCTGAAGGGACTATATTAATATCAGATGGTAGATGTCAGAACCAGGAATGTTACTAGGGTAAAAGGAGAAATTTTATGGTGACAAAGGGCTCAATTCACAAAGAGGACACAATTTTAAATGTAGAGCCTCAAAATATATGAGGCAAAAAACCTATGGAACTGAAAGGAGAAATAGACAAATCTACAGTTTTTAGTTGGAGATCTCAACACTGTTTTCAGTAGAGAAACAGAAGTAGATAAAATATCAGTATGAATATGGAAGACTTTAACAAAACTATTAACCAGACTAACCTAATTGACATTTATAGGACATTCCATTGAACAACAGCAGAATAGACATTATTTTCAAGTGTACATGGAACATTCAACAAGGTAGATCAATATTCTGGACTATAAAACAAGTGTCAATAAATTTACAGGGATTAAAGTCATACAGAGTGTATTCTCTGACCACACCAGAATTAAACTAGAAATCAGTAACAGAAAAAACTTCGAAAATCTCCACATGCTGATAGATTTAAGTAGCATGCTTCTAAATAATTCATAGATCAAAAAAGGAATCACAAGGGTAATTAGAAAATGCTTTGAATGAATTAAAAATACTTGTGGGATGCAGTGAAATGCCTAGAAAGAAATTTATAAAATCAAAGGATTATGTTAGAAAGTAAAAAAGGTCTAAAATTAATGACCTGAGCTTACATCTTAAGAAACTTGAAAAAGAATAGCTAATTAAACTCAAAATAAGCAAAAGGAAAGAAATAATTAAGATAAAAAAATCAGTGAAATAGAACACAGAGACAGTAGAGAAAATCATTGAAACCAGAGCTGATCTTTGAGAACATCAATAAAATTAATAAACCTCCAAACAAGAAAAAGACAAAAATTACCAGTATTAGGGATGAAAGAGGAGACATTGCTGCAGATCCTACAGACATTGTAAGGGTAATAAGGGAATACTGTGAGCAACTTTATGCCAACAAATTCAACAACTTAGATGAAATGGACAAATTTCTTTAAAGACAAGCCACCAAATCTCACTCAAGAAGAAATATACTAAAGAAATTGATGAGTAGTTTAAAACCTTACAATGAAAAGCCCAGGCCCAGATAGTTTCACTGGTGAATTCTACCAAAAATGTTAGGAAAAAGTAATGTCAGTTCTACACAAACTCAAAAAAGAGAGGCAGAGGGAGTACTTCACAGCTCATTTTATGAGGCTAGCATTACTCTGATACCAAAACCAAAGGCGTTACAAGACGGCTACAGATGGATACCTCCTATGAACATTAATGCAAAGATCTTTAATAAAATGTTAGCAAATCAGCTTCAGCAATTTACAAGTAAAGATAATACATCATGACCAAGTGGGTTATACTTCAGCAATGCATGATTTGTTTAATTAAAAGCAATCAGTATAATTCACCATGTTAACAGAATAAAGAAGAAAAATCGTATGAGCATCAATGATACAGAAAAAGAATTTAAATTTAATACGTATTCATGATAAAAACTCTCAACACCTTCCTTCATTCCTGAATAATTTAGTCCAGAAACCATTGGGTGGAGCTGAGTGAAGAAGGCATCCACAAAAGCTGGCTGTGGCAGCCTGGTGGGGGATTGGAGTCCAAGTAAGGAATCTATGAGTCCATATTGATACAAAAAAAAAATGAGGGAAAAAAAATGGGGAAAGGACAAAGCTCTTATAGTAGAATTTTAACTAATGTAGAAGGAATAATGGAACTAGAAAATTAGGATAGCTATCATAATAATTCATTCAGATAAGAAGCAAGAGAAGCTAAACTAGTGGAGGAAAGTTGATGAAGTATGGGATAGTTACATGGTCTCAGTGCATCTCTCCCTTAAGTACTTATTAATTGCAAAGTAAAAAATAATAATTTTTTTTTAGTGGATAAGCTGACAGATACATCTTTATCAAGAGATTGAAGTTATTAATAAATTGAAATTGTGTCCTGTCTGATGAGTTGTAATGATGTAATGAAAGGAACTCATCATCACTTCTTTAGTATTCCTGCCACAGATGCATATCCTGATTCTAGTCATGAGGAAATATTAGAGAAACCAGATTTGGGGAGACATTCTACAAGATAATGGTCTGTAATTTTCAGAAATATCAGTCATGAAAGTCAAGGGAAATGTGAGCAACTATTCGAGACTGAAAAACTAAAGAGACATGACCACCAAATACACTCTAATTCTGAACTGGATCCTTTGTTGTAAGGGACATATTGGAACAATTGGCAAAACTTGAATGGGATCTGCAGACCGTATGGTAGTAATATATCAGTATCAGTTTCCTGATTTTTATAGTTGAAAATGTCCTGGTTTTGAGGGAAGTATTGGTGTTGGGACATCAGATCAATTTATTATCAATTGGCTCAGGGGAGTGGGGAGAAGTTGTGTATACTGTATCACCTTGTGTTTTTTTTTTTAATTAAAAAAAAATTTGGTACTTTAAAATTCATTTATTTGAAAAATTCACATATCTGGTCTTCTAATGATGCTGAGTAACGGAGATAGGTAATATTATAATATCATTTTAGTAAATCAGTTTAACAATATTCTTTCCTCCCATATTTTGAATAGCATGTAAAAATGCCACTCCCAAAGAATAGATCAAAAATAAGAAAAATTTTTAAAAGTCACTCATTTTGGATGTCTAAATTTTTCTTTTTTTTGATCCCTCATTTTGGGTAAGTAAGATTGTTTATGTCTTTTCTTTCAGAACTAACAGTCTGGTTTTTGTAAAGGTAGCATACTTTTTCTCTGTTTACCTTCAAAGGTTGCTCAAGAAACCGATGTTAGGGCCCAGATTCGTCTGCAGTTTCGTGATGTCAATGGAGAACTTGTAGCTGTGCAGAGATCTATGGTGTGTACTCAGAAAAGCAAAAAGACAGAATTTAAAACCCTGGAAGGAGTCATTACTAGAACAAAGTAAGTATTTATATTATATTTGTATATCTGTTCATTTAGGTCTGTAAGACCTAATGGTTTTTTCCCACTACTATAAATTTATTTTAGGGAAGCATATTAATTTTTTTAACAGACTTTTTTAGAGCAGTTTTGGATTCACAGCAAAATTGAATAGAAAGCACAGAGTTCCCATATATTCCCTGTCCCTGTACACATAACCTATCCCACTATCAACATTTAATTTTTTTTGACACTAACAGTTAAATAGAATGGCACCGTTAAAAAGTAAGTGATAACGTTCCATTCCCTTGAGTAATTTATGAACAGTTGCTGAATTGAAAGTGCATAATCACTCACATATAGATTGAATGAATAAAAAATGTTACTATCATGTTATAGGGATGGATGAGATGAGAAGCAGACAAGTAGAAAAGAACAATAATTTGTCCCTTTCAAACATTATTATTCTGTTAGAGGCAAGTATCATCTTGTGATGGGTATGGATTTTGGAATTAGGCTGCCCTGGATACAAGGCTTTACCCTTGTTGAGCAAATTACTTAACTATGTATTCACTTTCCTCCCCTCCCTTTTATTTACTTATTTGTTAAACTAATTAAATAATTCAGTTATTTAACCAGTAATGTTTAACATCTACTATGTGCTAGAGGCACTATACTAGCCACTGGCTTTGTAAGCAAGTATTTTTCATTGGCTTTTTGAAAAAATTATTTTTATTATTTTATTATTTTAAATTGACACATTAGTGGTACATATTTATGGAGTATAATTCGATGTTTTGATACATATGTACATTGTGTAATGATCCAGTCAGGGTAGTTAGGATTTTCATCACTTCTTGCATTTATCATTTCTTTGTGGTAAAAACATTCAAAAGCCTCTCTCTTAGCTATTTTACAGTATATAGTATTTTACTGTTAACCAGAGTCACCCTCTGTGCAATGGAATACCAGAACTTACTCCTCCTATCTATTTGTAATCTTATACCTGTTGATCAGCCTCTCCTCATCCCCCCCTCCCCTCCTCTTCTCCCCATACCCCCTCACCTCTCTCACCTTCTTTCCTTCCACAGTCTCTGGTAAACCACTGTTTTACTCTCTGCTGTTTTGATATCAATTTTTTTCTTTTTAACATTCCACATATGAGTGAGATCATGTGGTATTTGTCTTTCTGTGTCTGGCTTATTTCTATTTCACTTAACATGGTGTCCTCCAGATTCATCCATGTTGTCACAAATGACAGGATTTCATTCTTTTTTTTATGGCTGAATAGTATTCCATTGTGTGTAAATACCACATTTTTTTCCATCCATTTTTGGACACTTAGGTTGATTCCCTAGCTTGGCTGTTGTAAATAGTGCTGCAGTGAACATGAGAGTGCCGAAATCTCTTTGACATACTGATTTCATTTACTTTTGTTTTTATTTTTGGCAGCTGACCAGTAGGAGGATCTGAACCTTTGACCTCAGTGTTACAACACTGCTAACACCACGCTCTAAGCAACTGAGCCAACCCAGCCCAGATTTCATTTACTTTTAAACACATTCAAGTCTCTCTCGTACCTTCTGATTTTATTCCACTCCAGTTACTGCCTGTCTCCCTCTTCCCCTTTACAGCCAGTCTTCTCAAAAGAGTTGTTGATACTCGCTGTCTCCATTTCTTCACCTTCTCCTCACTCCTCCATCCCCATTCCTCCACTGACCAGTTCCAATTGAGGTCACTAATAACCTCTGTATTAATTAGGATAATACTACTGCTATACAAAGTAGACCTAATAGCCTCTTTTTTTTAATTTGTAAAATAAGAGTTCATTATCAATGTACCTGTCTTAAAAAGATGTAAGGATTGAGCTAATGCCTATAAAATGCTTAATATGTAGTAAGAGCTCATGTACTAGTTTTCTATGACTGCTGTTAACAAGTGACAAACTTAGTAGTTGAAAACGACACAAATATATTACAGTCCATGCTTTAGAAGTCTGAATCAGTTCTCACTGAGCTAAAATCAAGGTGTTAGCAGGACTGTGTTCCTTTTCAGAGGCTCTGGGGGACGATCTGTTTCCTTGCTCTTTCCATCTTTTAGAGGCCACCTCCATTTCTTGGCTTATGGCCCTCTTTCTCCATCTTCAAAGCCAGCAACAGTGGGCAGAATTCTTTCCATATTGAATCACTCTGGACTCTTCTGCCTCCCTCTCTCGTATCTAATGACCCTTGTGATTACAGTGGCCCTATCCAAGTAGTCCAGAATAATTTCTGTGTTGTAAGGTCAGATGATTGACAACCTAATTCCATCTGTAATTTTAATTCCCCTTTGCCCTGTAACCTAACATTCACAAATTAAAAGCATTAGAATGTGGACATCTTTGGAGGGCTGTTGTTGTACCTACTACACCTCAGTAAATATTAGTTGTTAATCACTTTTTACTTGAAAATTTCTTTTTCTGGACTTCCATGATACAACGCTGTTCCTTCTTTCTCTCCATCACAGCCACATCCTACTTTCTCAACTAATAAAAGTTGGAGTCCCATAGGCTCAGTCCTATTTCTTCTTCTGTTTTTGCTGTATGTTCTCTTCTTAGGTCATCTCATTCATACCCATTGTTCAAATTACTATGTGTTCATAGATGAGTCATAAATTTATATCTCCAAATCAGACCTCTGTTTCCATGCCCGTGTACCGAAAGACACCTCAGAGTCAACCTCAGATCATGACCATTCTCACGATCGCCTCTCCCTAACCCCCTTAAAAAGTCTTCAACAACCTAGTCCTCTTGCAGTACTCCTTATCTCAGTGAGTGACACTATCTATCCAGGGACACAAGCCAAGATTCTGAGTCTTGACAACATCCTTGCTCTCTATATCCAATCCATCACCAAGTCCTATGGATTTAACCTAAATGTCTTTTGAATCTGTTTCCATCTCTACACAATCTTTATAGTCCAAGCTACCATCATCTTTCTGTGGTCTAATGTGATAACCTACTGGTCTATCTGTGTCCATTCTAACTCCTACTAAACATTCTCAGTACATTCAGTGAAATATTTTCAAAATATGAATGGGAATGCATAAAAACAGTAAAAACAGACACTTCCTCTGCCCACCAAATCAGTCCGCTAGCGAAGAACCCCTTTTTCTTTCTTTTTTTATGTAAATTATGTCTTTTTTCTTTTTTTATTAATTTAAAAAATTTTATTAATATAAAATGTAGTTGATTTTCTTGTCCCTTTACCAATTCCTCCCTCCCCCCTCCTTCTCCCCCTTCCTACCCATCAACATCATATCTGTTCACTTGTCTTAAGTTCAAGGAATTGTGATTGTTGTCTTCTCCACCCCTCCCCTGTTTGTTTGTGTATTTATTTTTAGCTCCCACAAATATGTGAGAACATGTGGTATTTCTCTTTCTGTGCTGACTTATTTCACTTAATATAATTTTTTCTAAGACTATCTACATTGCTGGAAATAGTAGTATTTAATTCTTTTTTATAGCAGAGTAGTATTCCACTGTGTAGATGTACCACATTTTCCATATCCACTCATCTGATGATGGACATTTGGGCTGGCTCCAACTCTTGGCTATTGTAAATAGTGCTGCAGTAAACATTGGGGTACAGATATCCCTTTGACATGATGATTTCCATTCCTCTGGGTATATTCCCAGCAGTGGAATAGCTGGGTCATATGTTAGGTCTATCTGAAATTGTTTGAGGAACCTCCATACCATTTTCCATAGAGGCTGCACCATTTTGCAGTTCCACCAGCAGTGTAGGAGGGAACAACCCCTTTTTCTAAACTACATATTTTTAGATGTTGTAAGTCACCTTTGCCTGTCTGCTGTTGATCATCATGTTTTATTTTTTTAAGTCTCATTTTTAAGTTCCAGGACTGGAAAACAGTTTATTTTCCTCTGTGTATTATCTGTAAATATTTTAAATTATTGTATTTAAGAGTCCAAATCTGTAAAAAAAAAAAAAATCCAGGCATTCTTTTCTGTGTCACCTTGTTTTACATACCTTCATCATTGAACTGCTAAATTATTTAAGGAGCCCATACTTTTTAGCATGAGGATGGTATTGTAACAGGAGAGAGGTGAAGGGGCCTTTTTTTTTTTTTTTTTTTTTTTTTTAGGAATACAGTGTGAAGGATTGATTGAGCAATAGAATAGGTACAACTGAAGGTTATTTTATATATGTTCTCAACTTTCATTTTCTATAGGCATGGCGAAAAGGTCAGTCTCAGCTCTAAGTGTGCAGAAATTGACCAAGAAATGATAAGTTCTCTTGGGGTTTCCAAGGCTGTCCTAAATAATGTCATTTTCTGTCACCAAGAAGATTCTAATTGGCCTTTAAGTGAAGGAAAGGCTCTGAAGCAAAAGTTTGATGAGATTTTTTCAGCAACAAGGTTTGTAACCCTTGCAGTTTTGATGCTTCTTTTTTCGAATAAAAATTTAGAAAGCAAAAAGGTCATCAATTATTACCTCTCACCCAGTGGCATCTGTTGGGCATATTTCTGTTCAGTTTTCTTTCTATGATATGTTTATTTATCTGATTGATAGTACAAATGTAATTTTTTCACTTACCAGAAGCATTTTCAAGTTATTAAAAACTCTTTGTAATGTAATCTTAATGACTGCACAATATTTCACAGTATGAACACATACCATAATTTACTTAGGCAGAAATTTAATTTTTATTTCATATCTTCAAAGGTACATTAAAGCCTTGGAAACACTTCGGCAAGTACGTCAGACACAAGGTCAGAAAGTAAAAGAATGTCAAACAGAACTAAAATATCTGAAGCAAAATAAGGAAAAAGCTTGTGAGATTCGTGATCAGATTATTAGTAAAGAAGACCAGTTGAAATCTTCAAAGGAAATTGTCAAATCCTATGAGAATGAACTTGATCCATTGAAGGTAAAATTTGATATCTTTTTTTAAATTGACAAATAGGGCCAGCCCATGGCTCACTCGGGAGAGTGCGGTGCTGATAGCACCAGAGCCACGGGTTCGGATCCCATATAGGGATGGCCGGTTTGCTCACTGGGTGAGCATGGTGCTGACAATACCAAGTCAAGGGTTAAGATCCCCTTACTGGTCATCTTTTTAAAAAATAAATAAATAAATTGACAAATAAAAATTGTACATATTTATGGTGTAAAACATGATGTTTTGATATAAATGTACATTGTGGAATGGCTATATCAAGCTAATTAACATGTGCATTACCTCACTTTTTTTTTTGTGGTGAGAACACTTAAAATTTGCTATCTTAGGAATTTTCAAGTATATAACATATTGTTATTAACATAATCACTGACGTACAATAGTTGATTTCTTGCATACTAAGAAGAAAGTTATTTATTTATTTTTTTACCATGGTAACATTTACCCCCTAAAACATTTTATTTGCGTCTAAAATTGAATGGCTTGGATATTTCTTGAAAAAATTATCAGTGACTGTATGATTTTATGGCTATTGTCATAGGTCTATAATAGATGATTAGTCTTTAAATAGTTCAAAGAGCTTGGATTTGAGAGTAAACAAATTTGTAGCATCACATTTAAAATTAGCAATATAGATCAGTAGCTGTTAGCTAGCAATGTAACTACCCAACATATAGTTCTGTATTTTTAAGATTTTTTTTTTTAATTGATGGATCTTTCTAGGGAATTTTTGTGATTTGCAGGATGTTCTTGATATTGCACAAAATTTGGGGTTGATCCATAACGTGTTGATATATTTGCAAATGAGTGTATAGCTTTCTAAACTCTGTAGTTTATAAGAAAAGCCTACAGGAAATCCCATTCATTTATTTAGTAAGCATTTATTGAATGTTTCCTATGTTCCAGGGTATACTATGCTTGGGAGTACAGTTATAATACAACAGCATCCTTGCCCTTAAGTTATTTGTAATCTAAATAAATGGGTATTCTTAAAGTTGGCAATTTTTTGTTTTCAGATCGTAAAAGATATTTTAAAAACTTTTTTTTTAATTAGTCAGTTTAGTTTTTTAGAACTCACCTGTAAATACTGGGGTAGATCTTTTTTTTCTTTTTAATTTGTTGATTTACTGAATATTTATTATCTGCTATATACCAGGCAAAAGGGACAGAAACAAATTGTCCAGAGTTACTTTTAACTCTTTTTGCAGTGCTTGAGTTTTCCTCATAAAAAATCTGTTCTGCTGAGTTACCATCCATTCATTCTTTGGTTAATCTTCATGTACAGTTTTCTCAAGTGTCTTTTTGAATACTGAATAATACTGTAGACTATTAAGTATTCCAAACATTGTGTGAAAAACTAGAGGAATTGCCGTTGCTTTCACCTCTGACAAAGTAGCAGCCAGAGGAGTAAAACTGTTCCTTTTGGTGGCAGCGGAATAGTATGATACTTTGCTAGATGTCCATTTTTAGAAAAAGCCAAAGCACCAGGATATAAAATGCCACATATTATGACAATCAGTGAACTGCTTAGAACCCAATTTTGCTTGCTTATATTACCTGAATACAAAGCATCAGTTACAAGCTTATAAGCAGCTATGGTAGACAAAAACAGAAGTGTAGTCAATGATGCATATGTCGTCAAAGCATCATGTTTAACTTTGAAGCAGTGTCTAAAAATGAAGTTTGCCCATTTTCCAGAGAAACTAGCTATAGTTCCAAAGAACTCTGTTCTGTATATATTTAAGATCTTTTCTTCTCTAAGATACTCAAGTTTTTTTCTATGGTTTCAATGAGCATCGGTCTTCTGAGTTTTCCATCTCCTAGAGAAGGACTGAGCTTGACTATGCGTGTGTGTTGCCATCTTGATGTCCTGCATCTCTCAGGTCAGCCCCAGCCTCATGCCCAAGTGCTGATTTTGGCAGCTCACCTAGTTTAGATCTTTGAATTGTAAAGTAGAAAAATATTTTTGAAAAAATGATGGCTATGCATAGAATGTATCATAAGGGCTTCAGGGAAGAGGCAGGGCTGAGCTGAGCCTTGAAGGATGGGGAGAAACCAAATTGACAAACTAGAAGACAAATTTAATGTATGTCTGTATTTATTTATTATTATTATTTTTTCTTTTAAAAGTAATAATGTTATCACAGTGAAAAAATTATAGAAAGGTATTAGGTGAAAAATAAAAGATACTCTTCTCATTCCTCATCTGGGACTTCACAGAGTATACCCTACCAGCAACTTTTTTTTTGCATATATACAATACATATGTGTATACAAACGTTCACATGTGTATGTGTGTGTATTCACACATTCAGACTTATCAAAACAGGATTGTGTGAGGAAGAGCCTGAGTTAAGTAAATCAGTACAGAAGGAGTGAGAAATAAGAACTGGGGTCAGAATATAGAGAGCTAATAGATTTAGGACTTAGTTCAGTAGATAAAAGAGTGACAGAGTTTGTTATATCTTAGGATGAGTCGTCCTGATAACTGTGTGTAGGTACTGTGGTAATTACCAAGGCAGCAGAACACATTTTATTTTCTTAAGGAGCAACCTGGTTGGAGACATGACAAGCAGAAAAAAGACAAGAGCTTAGGAGCTCTGAGGAGGAAGGAAGAGAATTTCTGTCTGAGGTGGCCAGAGAGGATTTCATAGGACTGAATTTGGGATATGACTTTGATCACAAATGAGAAGATCATTGGAGACATAGGGGTAGTAAAACACAAGCTGTTTTTGAATACTGTCAAGGAAATCTGTATAGTTGAAATGGAGCATTTGCATAGGAAATAATGTCAAGATAGGGCTAAGTGATAATGCCTAGTGTTTATTGAGTGGTGCCAGGATTCTAACCAAGGCTGTAGCAAAGGTTGAGGTGTTTGTATACTTCCTTTTTTGTGTTTAATTTTGACTAGTTCCCCAAGGGTTTAATCTTATTCCTCTCTGTATCCTCAGATCCTACCCCCCTACCTGGCACATAGCAGGTGATTCAGTAAGGTGGGTGATTTCCAGAGTGTGTTTAATTTTGACTAGTTCCCCAAGGGTTTAATCTTATTCCTCTCTGTATCCTTAGATCCTACCCCCCTACCTGGCACATAGCAGGTGATTCAGTAAGGTGGGTGATTTCCAGAGTCCTTTTTCAGCTCTGACATACAACTATTCTTCTCTTAATAGAACTCAACATAAAGTTGGGATCAAATCACCTTCCAGCAGCTGTCCAGAAAAGACCGCTTCATTTCAACACTATACTATATATGCTTTTCCATTTTTTACAGACTTCCTCCATTTTAAGGAACTCTCTCTTTCCCATCCCACCACACCCTGTCCTCTGATCTTGGCCTACTTACATCTGTTTTCCTTTCCTGCCTTAAATGGGAATTGCTTGAGAAATTTGTTTCTAATTTCTTTTTTCACATACAAATTCATGATCTTTCTATACCTGATAGCCAGCTCCATTCTTCTGTCTTATTGCACACTAGCACCTGAGCTTTAGACACTCTGCTATATTTTTTGTTGTCTGCGTGTTTTCCTTAGTCCCCTTTACTAGGTTGTGTGCTGTGGGGATACAACCTATATTTTGTGCTCTGGGGATAGAGCCAAAACACAGATGTCAAAGAAGGAATCCACAGGATCCAGTGACTGGCTGGATTTAAGGAATGAAGCAGCTAGAAATGTCACAAAAGATCTAAGCCCAGATGTTTATCATAATGTACCACCAAGAGGCAGTGAAAACACTGACAGAGAGAAGCTGAGAAGTCTGTGGAGTAACATAGATGAGGGGCTCAGTGCTCTTAAGTACCGATGCTGTTCTCTTTGTTAGACTCTGCTCAAAAGATATTTTCTGAGTACAGAATATTTTTCACAAGTGGTGTGAAAGGTTCCATTTGTTGAATGCTTACTGCTGGACACTGATCAAAGTGCTACAAAATGTATTAAGCAAGACCCACAGTAATCCTGAGAGGTTTTATAGGCAAGGAAATTGAGGCCTGTAAAACTGAGGTGTTCATGTTGGAAGTAAAGGTTAAAGCCAGGGTTTGAGTCCAGGCCTCTGACTCCTAAGCCCATACTTTTTTTTATAACATCAGGTTTATTGAGGTATAATTTACATATGGCAAAATCTACCCTCTTTAAAGTGTATAATTCTATGAATTTGGAAAAATGCATCTAATAGCATAACCACCATGATCAAGATACAGAATATTTCCATTACCCCAAAAACTTCTCTCAAAGCCCTTGCAGTGAGTCCTCTCTCTCTACTTCCAGCTCCTGGCAACCACTGATTTGTTTTCTGTTATTATAGTTTTGCCTTTTCCAGCATGGCACATAAATGGAATCATGCAATATATAGAATTTTGTGTCTGGCTTCTTTCCTTAGCGTAATACTTTTTAATTTATGGATATTGCCGTATGTATGAGTAGTTTGTTCATTCTTATTGCTGAGGAGTATTCCATTGTGTGGATATATTACAATTTTTTTGTTCATCCATGATGGACATAAAGTTGTTTCCAGCTTTTGGCTATTACAAATAAAACTGCTGTAAACTTTTATACAGGTTTTTGTTTGGACATATGTTTTTATCTCTCTTGAGCAACTCTCTAGGAATGGGGTTGCAAGGTTGTATGGTAAGTGTGTGCTTAACTTTATAAGCTGCCAAACTGTTTTCCAGAGCGGCTGTTCCATTTTGCATTTCTACCACTGATGTATGAGTGCAGTTGCTCTGCATCCTCATCTGCATTTAGTATTGTCAGTCATTTTCAGTTTAGCCATTGTAGTAGTTGTGCGTAGTATCTCTTTGACAGGATATTTTTCTTTGTGGTTTTAATTTGCATTAGTCCTAATGTCTTGATTTTGAGCATCTTTTCATGTGCTTATTTGCCATCTGAATATCTTCTTTGGTAAAGTGTTCAAATTCTTTGCCTATTTTTAATTTTTTTTGTCTTTTTATTTTTGTGTGGTGAGAGTTCTTTATATGTCCTAAATATGAGCTCTTTATCAGATATGTGTTTTGCAAATATTTTCTTAACTATTTTTCATAGGGCACAGGTTTGAAATTTTGATGAGATACAGTTCAAAAGTTTTTTCTGTTATGGTATGGTTTGTGCTTTTTGTTTTATATCTAGAAAATCTTCTCCTGACCCAGTGTTACAAAAATTTTCTTCTAGAAGTGTTATAGTTTGAATGCTTATGTTTAAGTATATGCTTCATTTCAGGTTAATTTTTGAATATGGTATAAGGTAAGGATTAAGGTTTCCGTTTTCTCATACTGATGTCGAGTTCCAGCACCCAGAGCTTACAGTCTTAACCATTATGCCACCCTGTCTCCCAGTCTTATCTCCCAGTCATAACTATGTGCCTTCATACAAGTCAGTTAAGTTCTCTGAGTCTCCTGCTTAGCATGTAGTCTTGTGAGGATTAGAGGGAACTTATAGCAGCACCTAGTACAATGTCTGGAGCATAATAGGCATTCAGTCAGTGATACCCGTGACTGATATTATTGGTAAAATTACTTTTTTCAAATCAGTAATTTTTTCATTCAGCTAACACATTGAACACCTATTATATATGTTGGGGATACCTTAGGGAACAAAGTAAACAAAATTCCTATTTTTTATGGTGATTACATGTTATACATTAATATACAAAGCAAAAGGTATAACTTGTCATATTACATTAATTCTAATAAATGACATTAAAGTTGAAGGTGCATCTTGGTCCAGCTATGCAAGTTTTCAATTGATATCTAAGCACTCTAGTAACTTAAGTGTAATATGAAAGTAGTTCAAAAAGTTTGTGGAAAGATTCATATTATCTTTTAATTTTGCTTTTCCACAAACTTTTTGAATTATCCTTGTATGTTAGTTTAAAAATTAGGTTCAGGGCAGCCTGCTCACTTGGTTAGAACATGGCCTGTAACACCAAGGTCAGGGGTTTGGTTCCCCATACCAGCCAGCCACCACCAAAGGAAAAAAAAAAAATAGGTTCAAAAAATGTCTGAGAAGAGGAGTTGATCAGCTTTGGAACTGTAAAGGCAAACACCGCAACAGTATCCCCAGCATTGTCCAAGGAGAAAATGCTCTGAACCAAATCACACATATTCCTAGGAGATGAAGCAGGCCACTGAGATCATTTGTCACATTTCACTTGCTCAGAGTCCTGTGCTTGAGCAAACTTTCGATCAAAGTATAGTCTTACATGTAAATTTGCCTACAAATTCAGAATGCACTGGGTTTCTAGCCCACTCGATAGTTCTGGTTTTAAAAAAAGAAAGATTAAATAGTTAGCCTTTGAAGGAGTAAGGTTTTTTTGGGTTTTTTTGTTTTTGTTTTTTTGGTGGCTGACTGGTATGGGGCTCCATACCCTTGACCTTGGTGTTATCAACACCATGCTCTACACAGCACCCTTCTTGTAAACCTGCTTGGAGTCTGCAGAGGAGAGGAGGGCTTTGAAGCACACTCTACCAGCCCACAGCCAAACACCATGGTCTAACCAACTGAGCTGACTGGCTAGCCCTAGGATTAAGTTTTAAAAATGTGATACTTTACATATTGTAGCTCTAAGGACTCAATGAATAAATGACTTGCGAGAGGTGTGGAGGGCAGGGAGTGAGCTTTGGAGTTAGAAGTGGAATTTAATTCTTCTATTTCTCTCCTAGCTGTGAGAACTTGGACAAATTATTTAATGTCTTAAATCTTCAGTTTCTCCATGACCCCGTTTATAGTGTTGTTGTTGGTGCTAAATGAGATCAGTTTTACTAAGCGTCTGGCCCTGGCACATCTTATTTCTTTTCATCCATCACTGGTGTAAACTATAGTGAATTTTATTTATGTAGAGTGTTTCTTTATTTTCAGAATCGTCTAAAAGAAATTGAACACAGTCTCTCCAAAATAATGAGACTTGACAATGAAATTAAAGCCTTGGATAGCCGAAAGAAGCAAATGGAAAAAGATAATAGTGAATTGGAACAGAAAATGGAAAAGGTTTGTGGTGGTAGAATTTTGTTCTGTTTCAAAATTTTGGGATTTACTGTAATGTACCTCATTTGAATCAGTTTTGCCACCACATTTTGAAAAAAACAAATACAAATCTTGATGTTTGTGTTACCTCTATGTGTATGTTGAAATCAAGGATATTGAATAAGATTTGGTTCAGATTTCATACCTCAAAGTGATTATATCTTCTTATATTTGCACATTAAAACTTTTTATTTTGGTTTTACACAGGTTTTTCAAGGGACTGATGAGCAACTAAATGACTTATATCACAATCACCAGAGAACAGTAAGGGAGAAAGAAAAGAGATTGGTAGACTGTCAGCGTGAACTGGAAAAATTAAATAAAGAATCTAGGCTTATCAATCAAGAAAAATCAGAACTACTTGTTGAACAGGGTAGGACAAAGTGCTGAGTTGGTCTTTTCTCCTGTGATAATGTTATGTATTTTCTGCATGAATGAAGACTCTCCAAGGAATTATGCTGTATGAAAAAAGCCAATCTCAAAAGGTTATATACAGTATGTTTCCATTTATGTAACATTTTTGGAATGTTAAAATTTTAGAAATGGTAGACAAATTAATGGTTGCCAGGGATACCAGGAAGGAGAAGGGGCAGGAGGGAGATAGGTGTGGTTATGTTATAAAAGAGCAATAAGAAGTGATTCTTGTGGGGTTGGAACCATTCAATATCTTGACTGTTGTGGTGGATATATGAACCTACACAGGTAATACCGTTATATAGAACTTAATACACACACACACAAATAGGTAAAAGTAAAGTTGGGGAAATTGGAGTAAGATTGGAAATTTGAATAAAATTGGTAGATTATATCAATGTCAATATCATGGTTGTGGTATACTGTAGTTTTGCAAAATGTTACTGTTGTGGGAAACTGGGCAAAGTATACAAGAGATCATGCTGTATTATTTTTTACCACTACATATGGATCTAAAATTTTCTCAACTTTTAAGAAGTGAGGGGAAAAGAATAATTATTAGGTTGTTTTTTTTTTTAAAGGTCGTCTACAGTTACAAGCAGATCGTCATCAAGAACATATCCGAGCTAGAGACTCATTAATTCAGGCTTTGGCAATACAGCTAGAATTGGATGGGTTTGAGCGTGGACCATTCAGTGAAAGACAGATTAAAAACTTCCACAAACTTGTGAGAGAGAGACAAGAAAGGGAAACAGAAACTGCCAATCAACTGATGGTAAATATTTTGAAATACAGTGTTTGTTATTATCTTTTGTTTGTATCAGATTCTATAGTTGAATTGTTTTAATTTTGGATGGACCCTATTTTGGCATGCTTTTAGATTAGTGTTAGGATAAAATCTGCTACAAGGAAGAAAAAACCTTTATGGTAGCAAATTTTTAAAAGTTTATAGGGATAAACATATGAAGAAAATATAGATATACATTTTTTGTTTGGTTTTAAGGAAAAAGTTTTAAAAGCTAATTGCAAAGAAGTTTGCTCACAGTTAATAATGATTATCTTTGAATGATAGTTTTTACATTTTTTAAAATACTTTTCTCTTTTCATCAGTGTACATGTTCCTTTTGCAAGGAAGAAACTTTATCTTAAATTGTTTAGTGAAAAATTGCTAATGCTCATTCTTTATGTATGTATTTAGAATGACTTTGCAGAAAAAGAGACTCTGAAACAAAAACAGATAGATGAGATAAGGGATAAGAAAACTGGACTGGGAAGAATAATTGAGCTAAAATCAGAAATCCTAAGTAAGAAGCAGAATGAGTTGAAAAATGTGAAGTACGAATTACAGCAGTTGGAAGGATCTTCAGACAGGATTCTTGAACTGGACCAAGAGCTCACAAAAGCTGTAAGATATTATTTAAATAATTTAATGATTTTAAGATGTAAGACAGAATCTTGCATTCTAAAGTATTTTATCTATTGCTAATCCTAAAGTTATGTCATTTTAATAAAAATATCAACCTTGTCTGTTCATCTCATATAAAATGAATTCATGTGAATTTCTTGATCACACAGATCTTTGGTTCTGGAATCTGGTGGGCTGAAAATTAGAATCACCTAAGGAGCTTTTTAATGATACCTGTGTTCAGACCTTAAAGCCTCAGATCTTCCAAATCAAAGTCTCTGAGACTGGGGCATAGAAATTCATGTTCAAAACACAATAGAATTAGGTTATTCTCATAGGCATATTGGTTAAGAACCACTTACCTAAGTAAAAAAAAAAAAACAAGTATTTTCCCTCTAGATTCCACACTATAATTATATGTGTTCTTTACCATGTTATCACTTTTTCTGTGGTGAAAACTTGCTTAGTAATAATCTTTTTTTCAAGAGTTTCTAAATTTTCTTTCTTACTGCTAATGTGGGCCCTTCCTTTATATCTTTATCACTGAAGGAAGCATTCTAAAGCTTGGCAAATCCCCTTTTAAATCCCATCTTGATAACTTAAGGAAGCATTTATTTTTGCTTTCTAACTCACCATTGTAGCATATGTTTTTGTCACTTTAGCACTTTTTCACAATATTGTCTTGTTGGGGTGGGAAGACACTGGTCAGGAACTACATCACACTATTTTTATATTTTATACATGTCAGGCAATGTCATGAGTTACATGGGGACTTAATAAATATTTAATTGTTGACTGAAGAGTCACACATCTGTATACTTAGACATATTTCTCCTAATTTTGTACTAATTCTCATTCTTCCTTCCTGTTTGACTTTTCTAGGTTCATTTACTAATTATCTACCATTATAGTAAGATAACTTCAATAAAATTTTCTTTAAAGCATACAAAGTGCCTTTTTTTTTTCTCTTGTTGGATACAAGCAAATGGTAATATTTTGACCATTCTGAGGAGTCATTAATTTCTAATACACTTTGTCATTATTTTAATTCTTACACAAAATATATATCGGGCCGGCCCGGTGGCGCACTGCTACAGTGCGCCGCTTGGGAGCGCGGTGGCGCTCCCGCCGAGGGTTCGGATCCCACATACAGACCGGCCGCTCACTGGCTGAGCGAGGTGCGGGAGCAACACCGAGGGTTGCGATCCCGTTGCCGGTCCCGGTCCGGTACGGGCATGACACTGAGGGTTGCGATCCGTTGCCGGTCACGAAAAAAAGACAAAAGGGAAAAAATATATATATATATATATAAACTTATGTATTTGTTTGAATTAGGAGCGGGAGCTAAGCAAGGCTGAAAAAAACAGCAATGTAGAAACCCTAAAAACAGAAGTAATAAGCCTTCAAAATGAGAAAGCAGACCTAGACAGGACTCTGCGTAAATTGGACCAGGAAATGGAGCAGTTAAATCATCATACGACAGCACGTACCCAAATGGAGATGCTGATCAAAGACAAAGTAGGAAATTTCTTTTGTTCTAATTATACTGTCTGGTATTTAAAATAGCTTATCTTGCATTCTTGATTGGTAGATTATGAAGTATTGAGTTGGTATTGGCTATATTTTATAGGTTAAGTGAGCTTACTACTCTATAAAATAGACTTTCAAACTTATTTTTTAATTATAAAAAGTTTATAATACAGAATTGTAGACAAACACAACGTGCACATTGCTGTTAACTTTTAACATATGGAAGTTTAAAATTTTTATATTGTTAGACTTATTACTCTTCTCTTATGCTTAAGAAAGGCCATCCCGGGCCGGCCCAGTGGCGCACTGGATAGTGCGCCGCCTGGGAAGCGCGGCGGCGCTCCCGTCCGAGGGTTCGGATCCCACATACAGACCGGCTCCCGCTCACTGGCTGAGTGAGGCGCGGGTGCAACGCCGAGGCTTGCAGTCCCGTTGCCGGTCCCCGGTCCGGTACGGGGGCAACACTGAGGGTTGCGATCCGTTGCCGGACACGGAAAAAAGACAAAAGACAAAAAAAAAAAAAAGAAAGGCCATCCCCACTCCAAGACATTAAGAAACTTTATGTCTGGGGCCAGCCCATGGCTCACGTGGGAGAGTGTGGTGCTGATAACACCAAGGCCATGGGTTCGGATCCCTATATAGGGATGGCTGGTTTGCTTACTTGGGAGAGTGTGGTGCTGACAACACCAAGTCAAGGGTTAAGATCCCCTTACAGGTCATCTTTATTAAAAAAAAAAAAGAAAAAATTTTATATTTTCTTCTTGCATTTTTGTAGTTTTGTTTTTTTAAGTCTAGAACTTTAGTCAATATACAATTTATTTTAGTTCTTGATATAATGTGGAGCTATTGGGCTTTATTTTTAAAAGATTTTTTTTTTTTTTTTTTTACCTATAGGCTGACAGAGATGAACAAATCAGAAAAATAAAATCTAGGCACAGTGATGAATTAACTTCGCTGTTGGGGTATTTTCCCAACAAAAAACAACTTGAAGACTGGCTTCATAGTAAATTAAAAGAAATTAATCAGACCAGGGACAGACTTGCCAAATTGAAGTAAGTAGTTGCAACATTTGGAGATATACTAGAAATCTCTTATTTCATGCTTTAATTTTTAATTGTTTTGAAATTATTGTTGTGAAATGTTATGTTGTATTAATTGACTTTAGTTCTATATTTTACAAATAAGGTGCTAATGAGTAGTGTATTAGTCCATTTTTGTCGCTTACAATGGAATGTCTGAAACTGAGTAATTTATAAAGAAATAAAATTTATTTCTTACCATTTTGGAGGCTGGGAAGTCCAAAATCAAGGTAACACATCTGGTGAGGGTCTTGTTGGTGGGAGATGACACTTTACAGCAATGCTGGGTGTCACATGGCAAGAATGGCAGAGCAAGGGAGAGAGCTAACCTCAGTTGCTCTCCTTTTAAAGCCATTAAAACCATACGCATTGCTCCATGAATGGATCAATCCATTCACGAGGACATAGTCCTCACAATCTAATCAGCTCTTTAAGGCCCAACCTTTCAATTACCATTACGGGATTTCCCACCCTCTTAATAGTTACACTGACATTAAACATCAATGAGTTTTTTGGAGCGAGGGGGAGCATTCAGTCCACAGCAGGTAGTAATTTGGGCCTCTTGTCCCTTGAAAATTTGTAGACCTAAGTAAGAGGATTAAAATAAAATTCTCTTTTCTGTTCTGTGAGTAATTCGTTATAAAAAGTAATTATTTTTCTCAGATGTTACCTTAGATGATGGTTGGATAAGAAGGTAAAAAATTCCACACAGATTTTTGAGGAGGATAGTAAATTTGGCTTTGGCCATGTTAAATTTGTGTTTCTTGTGGAAGTGTCTGTTAGGGAGTAGATTATTGCAGTTCAGAGTTCAGGAGATTAGGAGTTGTTGCTATGTAAGGGATAATTGAAGTCTTTAGTATAGTATAGGCCATGTCACCAGGAGAGATATATGCAGAAAGAAGAGAAGGGGTTACAGTTAGGATTTTAGGAAACACCCAACATGTAACATTTTGTCAGGCAAAGGAAGAGGAGCGAGTAAAGGAAATTAGATGTGCCCAGAGAACTAGGGTGAAAGCCAGACAGGAGTGGTGTCTGGGGTGCCTTGGGAAGATAGTCTTTCAAGGAGAGGGTTGTATTTCTTAGAGGTGGAGTAAAGTGAAGACTGCACTTGGCACTTGGTCGTTGGTGACCTTGGTGAAAAGAGGCTAGGATGGTGAAAGTGTCTATGTCAGTTACTTTTTCTAAATTTTTACTGTGACTTACAATGGATGGATTCATGATGAAATGCATGCACACTCACATACATTTATCTGAAACAAATTTCTCAAAATAGTACTTCTGCATACAGTCTACTTCCAATATGTTATATTCTGTTGTGTTTCATTTTTTAAAATATGCTGAGTATAATGCCTTAAATTGATTACATGACTTGCTAGTGCATCATAACCTGCAAATTGAAAACCCTGATTTGTGTGAGCATTGAGTTTGGCTAGGATGATGTTTGAGTTGGGGTGGAGATAAATTGTACTAATAAGCAAAATCTTTGACGAATGAGAGGGAATGAATGGTCAGGAAATGTACGTAGATGACAGCAACAAAGAGAGTACAAAGGAAAGGTTTTTACAATAGACTAGGAAGTAATATTGTAAAAGGGACCAAAGGAAATTAGGAGAATGTTTGTTTTCCTCCTGTCTTCTTTCACTCCAGTAGACCCAGCAAGCATCCTTGCTGAGGCTCTTAACCTGGAATCTAAGACCATGAACCCTCAGAAACCAGGCAAAATTCTGCCTGTGTATGTTTTTCTTGGAGCAGACCCATGACCAGGATTGGCAGGTGAGTCAGAGTCCTAGGGGAAGATTTTAAGGCAGAAGTGGACTAGTGCCGTGACCTTTTTTTTTTTTTCGGTGGCTGGCCTGTATGGGGATCCAAACCTGTGACCTTGGTGTCATAAGGCTGTGCTCTAACCAACTGAGCTAACTGGCCATCCCTATTGCCATGACTTCCAAAAATGAAGCATTTGGTCTTACCTGACCCTTGTAATGATTTGTTGGTCTGATTTTTCTTGTATCTGCCTACTCAAACTTTTCAAACTTATTTCTCATTTTAAAATTATAATCTATTTTTGTTCTTATTTTAGCAAGGAACTAGCTTCAGCAGAACAAAATAAAAATCATATAAATAATGAGCTAAAAAGAAAGGAAGAGCAGTTGTCCAGTTATGAAGACAAGCTGTTTGATATTTGTGGTAGCCAGGATTTTGAAAGTGATTTAGACAGGCTTAAAGAGGAGATTGAAAAATCCTCAAAACAGCGAGGTAAGTTGATTACTTTATATTATCAAAGCACTTGGACCCATTTGAATTTTCATTCACAGGGAACTATTTAAGGATGGGTGATTTTAAAACCCAGCTGTGGAGCCAAATGGCTTGAGTTTCAATCCTGGCTGTACAATTTATTCACTCTGTGACTTTGGACAACTTATTGAAACCTTCCTATGCTGTAGGTTCATCATTTGTAAAATGAGGACACAACTATCTATATACTACCTTAGGTATTAAGGAGGAGTGCATGAGGTTATAAGTGTAAAGCCCTTAGTATAGTGCCTGGCACATGGAAAGCTCTCAATCAATGTTACATTACGCCTTTTGTATGTTACCAAAAAATAATTTATACAAATCTGAAAGTATTGTGCCCTTTGGAAGAAGATTTAAATATCAGAGACTTTTTATTTCTTTTATGATATGTTTATAAAGCTAGAATAATAATCATATATATATATATATTGATTTTCTATATATATATAGAAAAAGATGTAACTATTTTGACAAAACTATATTTTTCTCACTGGAGATATATTTATTTTCTCAAAATAGCCATGCTGGCTGGAGCCACGGCAGTTTACTCCCAATTCATTACTCTGCTAACAGATGAAAATCAGTCCTGTTGCCCTGTTTGTCAGCGAGTTTTTCAGACAGAGGCTGAATTACAAGAAGTCATCAGTGATTTGCAATCTAAGCTGCGGCTTGCTCCAGATAAACTCAAGTCAACAGAATCAGAGCTAAAGAAAAAAGAGAAGCGACGTGATGAGATGCTGGGACTTGTGCCCATGAGGTGAGAATAGGGTTTTACTGTTACTATACATGTAGCAGAAACACTGTAAAAGTTACCCATCCAATGCCTGGCATATGGTAAATGCTCAGTAGGGTGTGTTGAATGTTTGAAAATTAAAGTCAGGGGCCGGCCCGGTGGTGCACTGGAGAGTGCGCCGCTTGGGAGTGCGGCGGCGCTCCCGCCGAGGGTTCGGATCCCATGTGGAGACCGTTTCCTGCTCGCTGGCTGAGCGCGGTGCGGGCGCAACACGGAGGGTTGCGATCCCGTTGCCGGTCCCCAATACGGGCGCGACACTGAGGGTTGCGATCCCGTTACCGGTCAGTAAAAAAGACAAAAAGGAAAAAAAAAAAAATTAAAGTCAGGATTCTGAGCCAGCAGGCACTATCTCATGTTATTTATGTAAGAAGAATCAGTTATTTTGTTTGAAGGTAAGCTTGCTTCTTAAACCAGTCATGGGGTAGATACAGTGTTTATATTTCTGAGTGTGTGTGTTTGTTTAATTCCTGAGACTTGACTTGAGGGCATGCATTTTGACAGATTTTTTTTTTTTTTTTTTTTTTTGGCAGCAGGCCAGTATGGGGATCCAAACCCTTGACCTTGTTACAACACTGTGTTCTAACTGACTGAGCTAACTGGCCAGCCTAATTTTCACAGATTTAAAACTATTGATATGTCACTTTCTAAACCCAGCAAAAGAATTAATGAAAAGCTCTCCCAAAAGACAAATTTTAAACTATATTTTTATGTCTTTCCCACCTTCAAAAAGAATGAATCATAGATGATTTCTATTATTTATATTTTCCCTCACTTGTATAAGAAATTCAGACAATGGTCTATTTATAAATAAAATAAAATCAGAAAATATGTGATGATTGCCTTAGTGTCTCCCAAAACATAGAGCACGAGGCTGGTCAGAGAGACCAATAAGACATGGCTCTCAAGGACCTAATGGTCTAATAAGGAGACAAGCTTTCAAAATTAGACATTTAGAAAGCTGGGCTTCATAAAGTGCTTAAAAAATGGTTCAAACAGGGGCCGGCCCGGTGGCGCACTGGATAGTGCGCCGCTTGGGAAGCGCGGTGGCGCTCCCGCCCGAGGGTTCGGATCCCACATACAGACCGGTTCCCGCTCACTGGCTGAGCGAGGCGCGGGAGCAACGCCGAGGTTTGCAATCCCGT